ACGTTTTACTTCGGCTACGGCCACAGTGACCCAGTGTCACACGTTTTACTTCGCTACGACCACAGTGACCCAGTGTCACACGTTTTACTTCGGCTCCAGCCACAGTGACCCAGTGTCACCCATTTTTACTTCGGCTCCAGCCACAGTAACCCAATGTCACGCATTTTACTTCGGCTCTAACCATAGTGACCCAGTGTCACACCTTTTACTTCGGCCCCAACCACAGTGACCCAGCGTTACACACTTTGCTTTAGCTACGCCCACCATGACTCCGGTCATTATTTTTTATTGCGGCTCATATTTAACTATTGACTATGGTCATCCATACATGTAAAGTCACCGCTTTTTATTTTTACCTTTATTTTTACTTCTGTAATTTGTCCTTCATATTCTTGTTTCCTTTCCTTTCTACTTATACACTACCCCTACCATCTCCAACAACATCATTCACAAGTGAATGACTTTGGGGGGGGGGGGGAATAGTGTAAGAGCAAGACCGAGGTGCCCAACCTCGGACGTACGACAGTAATTCCTTTATAACCGGAGTGAAGAGTAAATCCAGGGCTTCCCACTCGAACAGCTGCACAGCAGCTATGACGGACATTATCGCATATAAATATCTCTCAATTCCCCGGTCCCGAAATAACCGTCTGGAGATACACATCAGATCCCGAATATCTTGCTTGGCTTAATTTCCCGATCCTAAAATAACCGTCTGGAGATACACATCAGATCCCGAATATCTTGCTTGGCTTAATTTTCGGATCCCGAGCATCTTGCTTGGCAGGCAACACAGGTTCTTCATTGGAACATATAAATACCCCTCGAAGGTCACGACAGGAAGGTAATTGAAACCAACCCTAAGCTCCTCTAGTCTTCGCTCTATTAGTAGCCTCGATTATTGCTGACTTAAGCATCAGAGTGTCTACCCCGAGATCCATCTCGGGGCTTTGCAGGTCGATTCGGAGCGCAAATACGGACTGAAGAAGGACATCTGGTTTGGTGCAATTACAGAAATATACTATCAGATGGTTAATATTGGGTCTAACTCTTGACTATTCTTAACTAGTAGAGCTTTATCATATTTGGGTATGCGAACTAATTTATTCCTTGATTCCAACCAGGAATGTCTCTACTCCTTTTTTCTTGGACTTGGTCCTTTTTCTTTCATTTCCTCAAGGATGTTCCTTTTCCGTCTCCATAGTTTATTTTTCTTTACCAGATCCTCATCCTAAACCATCCCAGTGCTCACTGTTGAGTTGTACTTTAAAATGAACAGTTGTTTCCATAGGGTGATAAAAATGTTGCCATTTGTCATGTGCCTGATTTAAGCTATGTTTTTCCTCCCGTTCTACTGTCTTGGTGCCTTCTTTCTGAAGGAAAGCAACCTTACACTTTCATATAACAGCATTGTGAGGACTTGTTCAAAATTATATCTAAAGCCTTCAATGTCTACTGTCACAGAAGCAAGTTATATTACAGATGTTAAGATAAGTTTCTGGACACTGGACTGGACATACACATTAGTAAAATCAGATGGGATTCAATACTTTTCATAATCTTTACTCTTGTCAATAAGATGCATGAACAGTTTCATCATAGAGCCCTTTTTTCTTATATTCTTTTTCTGAAATTATATCAGGGAAAAAATGAAGATTTTAGTTGTGCTAAAGAGGCTCAAGTAGCAGGTTCATATTCCCAAGGCCAAGAGAGCGTAGAAATTATGCCCTATTCTAATATTGACAGTTCCATGTTTCCTGGTTCTCATCCAAATAATTGCCGAGTGCTTTCAGTTTCAGAATATACAGATATAGCATTGCTTCCATATGGTGCACAGGCATTGGAACATGAAAAATGCTCAATCAGGTGAACCTTGTTTAGCCTCAATATGTCTACTCCGGAACATTATAAATTGCAAATCTGTTCAATTTAGAAAATGTAAGGTAGTTTCCTGGATGAGGAATTCATTAATGCCTTTCATATTCTATTGATGAGCATGACGGTTTATGTAGAATAAAATCACCAAGCAAGTTCTGGATTTCACTTTGGCCTTGAGTTACAACAGCCTGCCACGGAACAGATTGATGCTGGAGGCTCTGATCCTAAAGTTCCTCTGTTTTATTGAAGTAAAATAGCTATTTATTTTATTTTATTATTTTAAATTAAAATTTGCTTTTTCAGTTTTCACTAATTCTTAATACTTTTTACTCTGAACAGATAGTATTCATGAAAGTTTGCCAACCATTCCTGACATAGAATCGGACCCCACTCAACTAAACATGGGCAATAGTGATACGGATGCTGAACTAGCACAACTAATAGATAACCTCTTCCGGACTCCCCTTGATCCTTCAATATTGGAAGATAACTAGGAGAGTTCTACTCCTTGTGGTGAGTCCATAGAGCATGGATCATTTTCTTCCTCCTCTCGTCCTGATACTGTGGGTAAGTTTTTCAGCAACAACGTTGTTAAAAGGCTGAGTTTTGGGGGGGATTTGCAGATTCAAGAAAAATCAAAGGTACTGACTGGTTAACACTGCTAAAGTTTGATGCATCAAATCACAGTATATATCTAACATTTGGCTTTGAGTTTAATTAATTTCAGTCTTTAATTTAAATTCCAAACAGGCTTCAGCTGAGGGTTCTTCATCTTTATCAGAATCAGCATGTGATGCGATTTCTAAATTTCATGAACAAGTTAATCACCTTGGACTAATGGATTCTGTTGACCCTCAGCAGAAACGCCTAGATTTAAGAAATAATAATTCAAAGGAAAATCACTTTCAAGGATCGCTATCAAATGAAAAACACAGTTATGTTCTACCCCTAGATTCAGATGGTGACTCGAAGTTCGAGGGAAAATTAATCTTCTCTTCTTCTATAGGGCAGCATTTGTTTGCTAGACTTTTAACAGAACAAGGTTCGAAGAAGAGGTCCAGTTCTGGGGACAATGGGGAAACAGGTGAGAATGAAAATGAGAATGATGTTTCGAGCATTCCCTCTGAAGAGAAATTGGATACCCAAGATATAAATGCTGCTGAAAACTATAGTGACAGGGCTGAAGCAAATCTTCTTCTGCGTTTTGATAAAATACTGCTTTCAGGCTTCAATGCCACTAATCATTTCGCCAGCAGCTTAGAGGATGTATCCCTGTTGATTAGTCAAATCAGTTCATTGCTGAAAGGGGACAACAAAGAATTGGACCAGTTGTTAAAGACTGGTTTAGGAACGGAATTTTGCTTAGAAAAATTTAAGGGCCAGCTGCTTCAGAAGCATCTGGAAGAGATGTTGCATTTATGGATCTTACAGAAGAATGCTGAAGGTGGTGATGGCCCTAGTATATTGGATGAGGGTGGACAAGGTGTTCTCCATTTGGCAGCTGCACTTGGTGTAACTGCACCAAACCAGAAGTCCTTCTTCAGTCCGTATCTGCACTCTGGATTGACCTACAAAGCCCCGAGGTGGATCCTCGGGGTAGACACTCCGATGCTTAAGTCAGCAATAATCGGGGCTACCTTCAAAGCGGAGAAACAAGGAGCTTAGGGTTGGTTCCAATTACCTTTTGGCGTGGCCCTTAAGGGGTATTTATATGTTCCGATGCAGAATCCACGCGGCATGCCAATCAAGATGCCAAGCAAGATATCCGGGATCCGATGTATATCTCCAGGTAGTTATTTCGGGACCGGGAGATTGAGCCAAGCAAAATATCCGAGATTTGATATGTATCTCCAAGCAGTTATTTTGGGATCGAGAGATTGAGATATATCTAGATACAAGGATGTCCATCGTAACTGCCGTGTAGCTATTCTAGCGGGAAGCTCTGGACTTACCCTTGCACTATTCCCCCCCCGGAAGTCATTCACTTGTGAATGATGTTGGTGGAAGTAATAGGGGTAGTGCATAAATAGAAAGAAAGAGAAATTAAGATGAGCTACGGAAATAAAAATCCATGACTTCTCCTGAATAGATGACCATAGTTGAAGTAAGATGAGTGATACTGGGTTACTGTGGCCGTAGCCGAAGTAAAATGAGTGACACTGGGTCACAGTGGCCGTAGCCGCAGTAAGGAGTGACACTGGGTCACAGTGGCCGTAGCCGAAGTAAGGAGTGACACTGGGTCACAGTGGCCAGAGCCGAAGTAAAATGAGTGACACTGGGTCACAATGGCCGTAGCCGAAGTAAAGTGAGTGACACTGGGTCACTGTGGCCGGAGCCGAAGTAAAATGAGTGACACTGGGTCACTGTGGCCGGAGCCGAAGTAAAATGAGTGACACTGGGTCACAGTGGCCGTAGCCGAAGTAAAATGAGTGACATTGGGTCACAGTGACCGTAGCCGAAGTAAGGAGTGACACTAGGTCACAGTGGCCGTAGCCGAAGTAAAATGAGTGACACTGGGTCACTGTGGCCGTAGCCGAAGTAAAATACTTGTCAAAATTTAAAATGTACAAAAGTGGAAAGGAGTGTTGAAATGAGCTTAAATGGGCCCGTCTGAGAGGTCTGACTAAGACGCGGCACGTGACGCGACAGCTGTCCTCTGAATGACGTGCGTAATAAATGCCGCTGTAAAAAAGATAACTGCAACAGTCCAACAGGCTGATTTGAAAAGCAAACCGTCGAATTCGAAACAGTGTCGTTTAATAGTTAACCGTCGAATTCGAAACGGTGTCTCTGCAGCCGTTAGATTGAGTTAATCACAGCCGTTGGGGCGTATTTTGCCTTTGGTATAAAAGGCTACACTTCTGTAAAGGGGGCTTTTTTACTCTCGTTATTTTGCGACTAAATTTTTGCTAAATTTCTCCTAAATTTATGCGGTTTTCGTGCGGTTTGCGCTTCGATCACGACTTCCACAACAGTTTCCAAGATCAAAATCAGGTAAAATTTACAAATTTTTTGCTTTGATTTTATCGAAGTGGTGTTCTCTTTTCTCTCTTTCTGTGGTTGATTTTGGGTTTTTTGGAGGGAATTTGGGAGTGAGAATGTGTTGAATGTGTTGGAATTGTTAAGGGTCCTGACATCGTTCCCCACCCCCTTTGTGCAGAAATTAAGATGTCTTCAAAAGAGACCCGGAGTGCAGTGGGGAGTGAAGTGATGCCCCTGGGTTATGGTAGTATGGATACAGAGAGCAACCCATCTCCAACTAGTTCAGAGAGGACGGTGGAGGAGAGGAAAGATGAAGTAGTAGTAGAGGAGGAGGAAGAGGAGATCCCCTCGAACATTTTGGAATCTGGGGGTGGCGTAGATGGGTGCTACAACCCAGACTTAGAGGTAGTTTCCGAGGTGAGAGGGTATGTGAGTGAACTAGGGAGTAGAAGTAGCCTTAGGGGGTTAGTAGGGAACTGCAACCTTCCTCACCATATCCTGCTCAGACCTGCCGGGGTGAATGAGAGGGCATGCTCAGCACCCCGAGACCATTGGATGCCCATATACCTGCATTATTTGATTGCAGGGCTTAGGTTCCCCATTCCAGAATTACTGGTAGGGCTCTTATTAGATTATAGTATAGGAATAACCCAATTAACCCCAAATGCCATAAGGGTAATAATAGGCTTTCTTGTATACTGCAGAGTTCGGGGGGTTGGGGTCCCTACAGTAAATATGTTTAAACATTTTTTTATAATTAAGGCTGGGGGTAGGGGGGAGAAGGGGTGGTACTACTTCGGCCCTCGGTCGTCCAGTAAAGGGAATAGGACTTTATTCTCTGCTGGACCGTCATCCATCAAAGGGTGGAAAGAAAAATTCTTCTTTGTGGATGACACCGAGTGGAGTAGGAGGGATGCCGAAGTGGAACAGTTGTCTGCTTGGAAAGCTAAGAAAACCAAGCAGAACAACTATAAATTAAATGAAGATGAGGTGGAGGAGGTGGAGAAGCTGGTGAGGGAGGATGGAGACGTGGTGGACATCCTATACCTCACCAGTCCGCAAGCAATAGAGGCTGCTGAGCTCTATGGGCCAAGCTCATTGAGCGAAGGTCTGTGTATGTTTACATTATGCTATGTTAGTTAGATCTTAGTTTATGCGTTTTGACCTTTGTGTTTGTTTTGCAGCTGAGATGGAGGAGTTTACAAATGCTGCTGGGGGGCTGCGCATCCCAAAGAAGCCAAGGAAGAAGTCAAAGACTTCAGCTGCGGCGAACAGAGAGGTGCCCGAGAGAGAGCGCCTGCCCAGCACTTCTGCCCGGGCCGTGGAGGTGCAGCCAAGGCCGGAGCCTATGATGGGGGGTAGCGAGGATGCAAGTGAGGAGATGGCACCTCTCCAGAGGAAGAAGAGGAGGGTGGCAGAGCTAGAAACCAGGGGGGACGAGGTGGTGGAGTTCGTGCCCCGGCCTTCTCCTCCAGAAATCAACCCTGAAGATAGGGAGAGGGAAGAGGTCGAGGTGCGAGGCCTTGGTGGGGGCAAGGAGCACATCCCTTCTCACGCGTACCAGAAGAGTTTGTTTGAGGCGACAAACATGACTGGGGCGAAGCACTTCCTCAACGCTACTCTTCCTAAGGTGGATAGGATGTAGGCGAAGAACGAGGTGTTTAGCCATGCGGGGTATACCGTTGTGAGGCATGCCCTAGAGGTATGTGAAATGGCTTGGAATTTAGTCCGGTTGTATGTTTGAGTTTTTTGACCTCTGTATCTGATGTCTGACTTCTGATTGCATTGTAGAGTGCGAGCTGGACAAACGCTCTTGCGCAGGAGTATGCGGAGAGCGTGAGAGATCGTGCCAGCTTGCAGAGGTAGTGCGAGTAGCTGCAGAAGGAGAAGGATGAGCTGCAGAAGGAGAAGGGGGAATGGGAGAAGCAGAAGAGGGAGATGCAGAGGAGGCTGGATGAAGTTCTCCCTTCAGTGACCGAGCTCCAGAACGAGAATGATGTCCTGAGCACGAAGCTTGGCCTCGAAGAACGTAAAAGGAAGATCTGTGAGGAGAAGCTCGAGGCTCAGGTCAAATATATGGACAAGATGAGGAAAGGAGCCGCGGAGCTGAAGAAGAACGTGAACCTGCTGGTTCACAACGGGATGGAGGAGCGTATTGGCAACTTCCTCAACTCTAGCACCTTCGAGGACATCCTCAAACTCTACCGGCTGCCAACCGCAATCGTGGCCTTTACCGACTGTAGAAAGAAGGTGAAGGCCCAGTACCCAGAGGTGGACATGACAACAGTCACCTTTGGGGAACAAGAAGAAGGAGTGGAGGAAGATGGGGAGAGCCTCTGTGCTAACTTCCGACCTCAGATCTCGCTGAGGTGGGAGCGTGATGCAGAGGGGTGGACTATTTTTCCTCCAACCTTCGAGGCTGAGTTGGTGGCAGTGAGGGGAGAAGAAGAAGAGCAAGGCACTGGAGTTGGGGATCAGGCAGCAATGGCCGAAGTACAGCCTCCCGAGGTGCATCCAGTCTCCTCTGACGAGGTGCAGCAGCTGGCCCCTCCTGAAGTAGAAGTGCCGCCTCAGCCTGCTGAAGACGAACCCAGAT